AAAATATGGAGGCAAAAAGTGTGGCTCAAACCCAAAACAATCCATGAAGGGAAGGAAACATATTAGACTGACACCTCCTTAGTTTCACAGGAATATAAGGGGGTGGTGAGGAGAGGAGAAGCACAATCAGATTTTGCAAAAATTGTGGGAACTGCAGTCTCAACATCTTTGAAGTGTGCCTGGTCAGAAAGACTATAGTAGATCAACTAAGCATCACAACCATACATACAAGACAATAGGGCTACTCACAAAGGAATGCAGACATTACAAAATTATTTAACTTTATTTTGTGCTGAAACATCCACTTGTCTTTTTAAAACAAATGACCTCACCCAAATGATACATCGACAGCCTTTTAATTGATTTTTTTGAAATAGCAAAATATCTGATGGACATTTCTAAGTGGTATTGATCTTGTACTGACCGAGAATGATGGATACCCTGAAATTGTCAGACATATTTTGATATTTATCTTTTTGATAAGTAAGGAAGCAATTAATTCATGTGTTGAACTAAGACATGGTTTGTTTCACTGTAGATCAGTGGGCCCCAATCTTTTGGATGTCAGGGACTGGTTCTGTGGTAGAAATTTTTGTGTGGATGGAGCATTTTGTATGCTGCATGGATCTCACACATGTGCAGATAGAGCTTTGCTTGCTTGCATGAACTGGTTCCTGGCAGGATGCAGACTGATGCCAGTCCATGGTCTGGAGGTTGGGAACCCCTGCTGTAGAATAATTAACTGGCTTCAGCTATTTCATTTTCCAATAAACCAGAGACTAGCAACCTCCAAGCTGCTTCCAAGTTTTTTTTTTCTTTTACAGCTGCAGGGAAATCTCCTGCCACAGTTGTGCAAAATAATGGGGAATACTAGCCATCTTTTCAGGAGTAAACCCCAAAAACTATAAGTATGCTGGAAAAACAAAACAAAGTAGGACAAGCTCAAATCCAACCTACACAAAACGGGCGGGGGGGGGATCCTAAATCCACCAAAGTTTCTGACAGGACTTCTGTTCTGCTTACTGCGCTGTGCTGTCCAGACGGTTTAGAGTTAATGGGATTTGGGATAGTTAATTGGGAATTGAGAACTGTCCCCTTAAGGGAATGCATCATGGTAAACGTAGTTAAGGTATCCTGGGAAATGTAGTCCATGTCATGTGGTCACATCTGTAATCTGGATTGGTCACTATATTGACCCTTGTTGGGTTGGAGGAGGCTCCATCACTCTTGCCTGAATCCACCATACCATGTAGCTGCTTCAATCATCATGAGGATGAGACTTTATTATCTTTCTACTGTTCTACTTATTACACTCTGGATGGGTATAAAGCAGACAGACCAACTCCACAAAGCATCCATACAAAGTCTTTTTTATTGGTTCGTCAGGCATCCTTATCAACTCACATTTATGATGAGGTTCTTCTTAATGTCCAATCCTTTGCATATCTGCATTATGGTGTAGAAAGATGATAAAGTCTCATCCTCATGATGATTGAAGCAGCTGCATGGTATGGTGGATTCAGGCAAGAGTGACGGAACCTCCCCCAACCCAACAAGGGTCAATATAGTGACCAATCCAGATTACAGATGTGACCACATGACATGGACTACTTTTCCCCGGATACCTTAGCTACATTTACCATGATGCATTCCCTTAAGGGAACAGCTCACAATTCCTAAATAAGTATCCCAAATCCCATTAACTCTAAACTGTCTGGATAGAACAACTTCCTTCATCTTCCCAAAGTTAAACATGATCTCTGATCATGCAAACCTTCAAAACACAATGGATGAGACCCCATTCCACTGGCACCAAAACATGGCACAAACATGCCCTGGCAATTTCTTTTCTCTGCTATGAAATATCCCCATAATACAGTATTGGCTATTTAATACCCATGTCACAAATTGGATTTATGTCATCATTAGCTATACCAGTATTTGATTTTTCCTTCTTCATTCATCGCCATCTAGCAGCAATCTCCAGGTGTGTCAACAGTGTAATACTTCACCAGTCTTACAACTTAAGTGACAATTTCTGAGTGAAACCATTTATTTCAAGCATATTCCATCCACTCTAAATCCTGATCATCTCCAAGTTTGACACCCCTGACTTAAAAGTTTGACACCTTGTTAATGAATAAAAACACAGAAATGCAGAGAATATAAACAATCATCATTTCCCAAAAGCCTGTAGACCTAGAGATAAGAGAAAATCTAAGTCTGCTCTTCAAAGAGGATGGTGCTTCTGGATAGCAAAAAAAATATAAAGCAACTAATTAAAACTTTGAATGATAATTCCTTCTCTTTCAGAAATCATGACTATTATTTCTTAGAATAAAAACAAGATTATTTCTTTACTTAGTGTTTTGAAGCAGACTGGACTACGCCATTTTACTCCAAAAAATACAGTGATTTGGGAATCACTCAAATTTTCACCGCCTTTTCTAATTTGTCAAAATATATATGTCTATTACATACACAAGTGCCATTCAAGCTCAATGAAAGAATTATACTTTTTTTTCTTCCAGAAAAATGGTTGGATATGGGTATTTCCTTAGTTTTTATTTTATACTGCAGTATTGGCTGATTAATCATCTAGAAGATGTCTAGCAAAGAGCTTTTAAGCCTGTCTTAAATTACCAACATAAATAATGGTGAATCAGCTTATTGGGATCTCTATCAAATCAACTGAAAATCAATGCAACATACATTAAAAAGTGTTTAAGGCCAGAGTTGTGGGCTGTATTTTATAGAATGAAATTATTTTCATCTATTATCTTATTATATATATATACATATATATATATATATATATATATATATGTGGATCTTTGGTTGTTCGGGTTTTCTCCCGCGTAAGATTCTAAGTATCTAGGCAACGTTTCGATGAAGTCTCATTTATCATCTTCAGGCTTCTGTCTCCAGCTCTGTGCTTCTCAGAGTAATGTGAGATTGCAGCTGCTTCCTCCTTTTAACTGCCAGTGGGGGTGGGACTTGATTGGGTGGGGGCTTGGCTGTGTTCTGATTGGGTGGGGGTGTGTTCTCATTGGTAGGGGGTTTGGCTGTGTTCTGATTGGTTGGGGGGTTAGCCGTGTTCTGATTGGTTGGAGGCGTGTTCTGTTCAGGTGGGGGCCTCAGAATATATATTCTGAGGTTCTCGCGGGTATTTGTATGTGGATCTTTGGTTGTTCGGGTTTTCTCCCGCGTAAGATTCGAAGTATCTAGGCAACGTTATATATATATCAGTATTGCTTCTAGATCTTTAAAGAGTTGTTTAAGACCAACAAATACAGCCTTAGTGCATTTTATAAATTGTAATATATGGCTGATTATGTGGTACAAACCTAGCCATTTTTACTCAGTTCAACTTAAGGTGGCTAAAGAAAATATAATTTTATGTATTATATGAGTCCAGTTATGGGTTGGGGAAAATCATGACTGGAAAGCCATGATTTGATCTTGAATAAACCACAGTTGGCTGGGTCCTTGCACATCAAATCAATAATACAATGGCTTAAAGAGATATCTTTACCCAAATTGAACCCAAATCTCAGGCAAAGAAATAAAATTGCTCAAGGCTAAAATGAGTACAGCAAATCCTATTACAGAAAAAGCAATATATTCTTAGCTCTTTCCTTGCTCTTCTATTTTTGAGGAATTAAAAGACATAATAAAATACAGGATGCTATGAACAATAAAGAATACAGATAGTCATCAATTTATGATTGTAATGGAGCCCACAATTTTGGTCATATGTCACGATGGTCCTAAAGCAAGTCATCATTTGACTGTGCCAGATTTTACAACCTTTTGTTTTGGCAGTCATTAAGTGAAGGCAATGGTCATAAAGTGAATGCCACAGTCATTAAGCAAATTAAAGTTTAATTAATTCTTTGTTCAATTAATTAATTGTTCCCATTGTTTTCTATGGGGAACTTTTTGCTGGAAACAAGAAGTAAACACTGCTTTCCAGGAAAAATGTCATAAATCATGGTCACATGAGAACAGGTTGTTGCAAATGGCTGTAAATGTGGGCCAGTTTCCAAGTTTCAAAAATGTGGTCATGTGACTGTGTGGAAGGGAGCAGATGAGGGATAAGTGAAAAGCATCTTAGGAAGTTTGGGACTATCATACTTGGGCTGCAGAATTCTAACCAGTAGGTGGCAACAAAGAGTTAGCTTGCTGTTTTAATCAGATGCTTCAGGAGGACAGTGAAATGTACAGCTGGTGTGTTCAATGTAAATTAACATGGCCTGTTGTAGGATTTCTAAGCAGTTGTGAACTTGAATAATGATAGTTTGAACAATGATAACATACAGGGGGTTCTCATTTAGTGACCATAATTGGGACTGGCAACTTGGTCATTAAGTGAAACACCTCAATGTTGTGGTTTTACTTCAGCTTTCCTTTGCTTTACAGAGCAGCAAAAGTTATAAATGTGGGGACTGGTGATAAAGATACTTTTTCATCTCTGTCATAATTCTGAATGGTTATAAACAAAGCAGTCCATGAACAAAGACTGCCTATAAGTGGTGGTCTATCGGTGGATGTGGGGAAAAAAATTATTTGATGGTTTGATTTGATGGTTTGGTTTGCTTTGTAAAAAATCTGTTCTCTTCTGTACAAAATGAGAGATCTGGTTTTCCAATATATATGCACAGTATTTATTTATTTATTTATTTTTGTCAATTGCTTACAAGGTAATAGGTATAAGTAAAAACATAGTTATGAATACATGGATACATATAAGAAAAATTTAAAATATAAAAGAAACAATAGGACAGGGACGGTAGGCACGTTGGTGCACTTATGCACGCCCCCTATAGATTTCTTAGGAAAGGGGTGAGGTGAATAGTAGACAGTCTAAGGTTAAAGCCATCTCATTTTTACCACATGTGATGGTCTTGCCCAGAAGCTCAAAGATATTGGACTTGATTTGCAGATTCAACCGCTGTTTGATTGCTGTCATAAAAACCAGAAAGCTTCACTCTTTGTTCCTCTCCTGAGGTGTCCTGACTTTGATCTTCCCAAGGGATCCTCCTGAAAAATAGCTCCTGAGGGGGATTTGATGGGTTCTTCTTTCCCTCAGGAACTCTGATCTCCACAGTGACTCTTCGCGACCCCTTGGACCAGATTGCACCAGTCACTTTCAGCCCAATTCACCCTACAAGACTGTTGTTATGGGGAAAGTAGGAAGGAAAAGAGTATTGGCACGTTCCCTGTTTTGAAGTTTATATGAAAAAGGTGGGATAGAAATCTTTAAAAATTAATAATAATTACACATCCTCAATTCTCAGATTGTAATAAATATTCTCTTCCTCACTCATTTTGAAAACTGCCTACTAAGAGATTATTGTACATTGTCATGAGTTCCTGCAAGTTCCTTCTGAAAGAAACAAAACATGATCATCTCAGATTATAAAAGACACCAGGCTTGACTTCACATAAGGAAGTTGGTTCCTTCTTATGAGCATGAGAACTTGCTGCGTGTTTGGGAACATTTTGCATACACCAAAGTGCCTGAGAATTGCTACATGCAGATGTGCTCGGTTCCAGCAAAATGCCCCTTAAGCATAAGTAACTTACTTACAAGATAACCTTTACTCATGCATAACCTGAAAATATGCTGCAATACAAGCAAACATAAATACGACTCACTTTCAGATCTCACAGCTGAATATGTGGAAGTGCTGGAGAATATCATCTTTTCTTTTGCAGGATTGGATTCATTATTTCAGAGCAGCTTCTATCTGATTGGTTGAAAATAAATGATGACTAGTAAGAATGGGAATTATTTTTTGATAATGTCAATTAAGAAAACAATAGCTCTTGATATCAGGTAGGTGTAAGACATATAACAAGTAGAAATCCATGTGGTACTTTTCCCCATATTATCTTTGGCTGTGCTCAACCAATTGATTTTATTTGAAATGTAATTAAATAAAACTGTCATATGATCTGCATTGTAAATACTTTATTTACTTTGATGTAGTGGAACAAAATAGTAGGGATATTTTTAATGCAGTGGTAGTCAAAATGAAAATATGTTTATAATGACTTTACTTAAGTTGGGCAATTAGTAGAATATAAATCTTTCTAAACAGATCACAACCACAGAAATGCAATTGAATAAAATTAAGGATGGGAGAGGAGAAACATGAAACAGAGTTGTTAAATAAATCCATAGTAGAACTCTGTGGGCTGAGTTTAAACCAATTTATTTCCCATGAAGATAAACTGCTATCTCAGAATACATTCCAAGGTTAAATTAGAGGTCTTGAGGGAATATTGAGAGTAGCAAATAGAAAATTCCAGTTGTTCTCTAAATAATAACGCATTCCTCACTGGCAGATGTTAGTATTCACTGAACTCTAGTAAAGAAAATGGTGGATTTATCTTTCCATTTTACTGCTCTTTTTGATAATTCTCAAGAATAATTTTTTGAAGGACACAAATTAAGATTGTAATTCATTTTAATTTTCAACAACCATATTTTGAGTCTCAGTCACATCCAAATACCTGAAGCGAAAGATGCAAGGCTTTTTTTTTAAAAAAATGTAACATTGTTTGATCCATGGGAATTTATCCACAAATGGATATTTTACATAACCATATAAATTGCTTCATAGAATTGGGCCCTCTTAAGATCATATGATTCTACAGCGTACAAACAAATTTTGAAATGTAATATAATGACTGGCTACATTTATTGCCATGCTGTAAAGAAATTACAGGTGGCATCCAATTTGGTAACTATCTTTACACATCAATTGGAATAAATATGAAATATGAAAACATACTTATAGATACTAACTTTCATACAAAGATCCACATAATAGTTTTAGGCAAGAATCTGTACATAATTTTATGAGAACAAAACACTCAAACATATGCTATCATTTGTTAAAAAACAGATATAGTTTCAATATCATAAAATTGATATTTTTCCTAATAAATGTCCTATTTATTTCCAAGATTAAAATACACAGTCAAAAAAAGGAAAAAAGACTACATAACAACAACAACAAAGATCAAAAAGTACATAAAACAGAATGTCAAACATAGATATAAAATATCCCCCCTGGTTGAATATTGATAAATAAGCTTCCTCAATATTAACTGATATTCTTGTTTGTTTGTTATTTATACATCATTGAAAAAGAAAGAACAAAACATTTTGAAATTTTTGAAGGATATTATACCTAGTTTAGATGATTTTGCCATCTATCTTTCCAGTCCATAGAAGGAGACAGTGAATGGAAAGAACACTGAAAATAAATGGCCGACTATACATATTATCATAGTGCATATGGACATGTCACTTTCTTTAGAAGAGAACCAAGCTGATGAAACCATAGGCTCAAAAACTGAGGTATTAAGCCAGAAGATGAAGTATGTGCGTAGACCCTATCATTTCATATCCTGATGCAAAGAATATTGAATTCTAACTAGAAGCAAGACTAGTATTTCACATCAACCAATGAGACTGAATGGCAGCAAATGAAAGAACTGACCACTTAAGATAAAGGTAACTGATGGGAGATGAAGGTTGGCAGAATTTGATTCAAAGTTCAGATCTTCTCTACTCCAGATAAAAAGGAAGGAAGAATGAAAAGGAAGAATAAAAAGTAAAGCTTTATATTTAGGCAAGAAAAGCCAAATGCACATGTATAGAATAGGTGCTACCTGGCTCAATAGTAGTAACTGTGAGTGGGATCTTGGAGTCCTAGTGGATAATCACTTAAATATGAGCCAGAAGTGTGTTGCAACTGCCAAAAAAGCCAACAAAGTCCTAGACTGCTATAACAGAAGTATAGAATTACAATCATGTGAAGTGTTAATACTACTTTAAAATGCCTTGGTAAGACCATACTTGGAATGTATGGCATCCAGTTTTGGTCACTACAATATAAAAAAGATGTTGATTGAAGATTGCAGAGAAGAGCAACAAAGATAATTAGGGGACTGGAGGCTAAAACATATGAAGAATAGTTGCAGAAATTAGGTATGTCTAATTTAATGAAAAGAAGAACTAGGTGTGATATAGCAGTGTTCCAATATCAAAGGGGCTGCCACATAGAGGGGTATGTGCCAATCTATCACCAAAAGTACCTGAAGGTGGGAAAAGAAGTAACTGAAGAAAACTAAACAAGGAGAGAAGCAACTAGAACTAAGGAAAAATTTCCTGACAGAACAATTAATCAGAATTGCCTCCAGAAATGGTGGTGGTCCAACACTGGAGATTTTTAAGAAGAGATTGAACAACCATTCATCTGAAATGGTATAGGATTTCCTGACTGAGCAGGGGGTTGGACTAGAAGACTTTCACAGCCCCTTCCAACTTTGTTATTCTGTATACCTCAGGCTCCTTCAGATGACAGTTCCTTTACTGGAAGTTGGACAATTTCCACTGTATTCCTGATCTTTGCACTGGACTCTTAACAACTACAACCAACTTCTCTTTTGAACATGCCCATCCTACCCAGTCCGTTGTTAATTTCTGACATCTAGATCGACTCAATTATAACAAATGCCTGTCCCAGGCAACTAGACAGTGAATTAAAGCCCAATTTACAGTTTTATGAGCAGAAATGTTGTAAATTAAGTTTCATGACATATGACTGACTTGTTTGTTTTCTACCAGAGCCTAGTTAAGCTACGAAAATCATATTGATGGGATATACTTGGTTTCTGGACCGTGTCCAGTTCATCTGAAAAATAAACTACTGACCAGAGCAGAGAATACTTCTCACAAGGACTGTCATTTTGCTTAGTGTTTTATTAATGAGTTGAATTAAAATGCTGAAAGAATGGTTACCACAGCAACAAATTAAAATCAAAGTGGTCTTATTAGTATAGAGAACTGGGCTGAAAACAATAGAATGTAATTTAACAGAAATGAGTGCATACTGTAGATGCAAGATGGGAATATCTTACTTTATTAAAAAGATCTTGGAGTGTTAGTCAATTGCAAACTGAATATGAGTCAGCAAATGATGTTACTACAAAAAAGGGGAAATGGACTTTTAAACTGCATAATCAGAAGTAAAGTTTACAAATCATGGACATTCTGATTTTATTTGGCATTGGTCAAACGTCAATATATTCAACCCAGTTCTGGAACAGATTCAGAGAAGCAATGCAAGGATTAGAAATTAAATCAGGGAATAGAAACTAAAGCCTTGGAAGAGAATGGAGCAGTGTTTAGCCTTTAGGAAAAAAAGAAGATAGCTTTCTTTAGCTACCTGAAAGAATGTCTTACAAAAGGTTGGAATCTGTTTATCTGTCCTTCCAGAACTGATTTAAGTTACAGAAAGATGGATTCCAACTGAAATGACCATGAAACCAGTTGCTCAGAGAAATGACAGGCTCTACACCTGTGGATCTGGCCATCTGTTACATACAGTTGTTTCAACTAGATTCCTATTATTATGGTTGGTTGCAAGATCAGCCAAATATTTAGACTAGATTTGGTGGTTTTGTCAACCTTGAGCCTGATGGGATTTGAACTGCCAAATTGCAGGCAGCCAACAGTCAGCAGAACTAGCCTGCAGTACTGCATTCCAACCACTGCACCACCAAGGCTCATGGTAAGAGAACACCTGTCTGATCTTGATGAATATAAATCACCAAGACTGGATGGATTACATTCCAAAGTTTTGAAGGAGCTGGCAGATATTATCTCAGAACCATTGTATCATATCTTTTAAAAGTCTTGGAGCACTGGGGAACTTCCAAAATGTTTTCAAAGAAAAATCAGAAGGTCCAGTTGCCTCTTGAAAAAGCACCTTTGGGACAACCATGAGCTGGATGACTGAGAATCTTCATAGACATGTAATTCTATGCTGCTTATTTTAGAAAGTCTTTCTGTCCTAAACATTAATAACATCCATATCAACTGGTTTATTTATACTGTAGTTTTGCACATTGTCCACATTCATATTAATTGTGGCATGTAAAGAAATGTTTCTTACTTAGCATATTGTATGAATCCAGTCAATTGGGGTTTATTCAACAACCAAGTTTAAATACAACACATCTTGATGTGATAGGTCAACCTGGTTAGTATGTCAAGCCCAGTAACAGATCTTCAGATATTTTCAAGTGGTATAAAAGTACCCTTGGATATTTCCTTCCCAGTAGTTCCTGTTCCAGAGCAGATTGTTTCTCTCTTCATTTTTACTTAACAAGGGTTTTGACAAAGGCCTAACCACTTCCTCTTCTATGGGTTCCCACAGAAAATTGTGAAAGCAGAAACTTTGTTTTCAATGCATGATGTTAAGACTTGCACATAATTACTCCAAGAAACTCCTGTAGGTCACTGTAGGGATAATTACATAATTCTCTGGAACTGTCCTCTGTTTATAAAATGATGTATATGGAAAGTCAGATCTCTCTTTCTTCAGTACAGTTGTAGCTCACCTTTGCAATGATAGGAAAGTTTCATACAACTGATACAAACAGGGAAGTGATGTTGGGATTTCCTCAAGCTGCTGGTATTTTTGGGAATTCAACTTTCTTTCTCGGGGTAATAAGTCAAGAGTGACTCAGAAATTCATGATTACCATGACAAAAACTTCAAGTTTAACTTGACCCATGTGCCTGATGCACATAAAACATCACAAACCACATCTGGTTTTGTCTCAGGGTAAATATCAAGTGATCTGAAAGTGAAAGTGTCCAATTTATTGTTGTATTTCAAGGGAAAGAGAGGCTTAGACCAGGGCATGCAATTAACACGTTTATTGAAGGAACAGTGGTTGTCGCGTCTGCCAGCCAACGGGCAGACTAGCTTGCGAACAACGGCTGGCTTGGCTTGACAGCCGGCTTTTTATAGTCGGCTGTCAACCGACGCCAGCCAATAGGAACGGTTGTTGAACTTGCTTAATGAGTGGACCCGGTTGGAGCCCCAACCGGTTCCCAAGACATAACACCCCTTCCCCCCAGATGGGAACACACATAATCTTTGAGATACGCCGGTGGTCTGTGTTGGCGACCCGAGCGACGTAACTCAGGAGATTCATTGGGCGAAGACAAGTTCGCGGACCCCAGGTCAGGGTACGTAGGGTGGCGACCAGGGCTCGGTGCAGGAACTGGAGCCAGTGAAAAGTCTCTGCCTTCACTGGGGATAAACGGTGGTGCTCCCGGCTGGCAGTCCCGGTCTACTGCCTGCTCTCTCTGCTCCGTTGGTGAAGGTTGGTCACTCTGGGAGCCCCTAGCTGGACCTTGGAGTGGCGCCCGCGGCTCTTCTGGTGGAGACGGGTCTGGGCCGGTCAGGCTGCTCCGTCGTCTCCGCAGCTGGTCCAGGTGTCTTCGCCACACACGACCGTCTTCAAGTTGGACCCGATAAGATCTTGGACCCGTGACAGCCACGACTTTTCCGGCCACCCACAGTGGGTCCCCCGCGTAGTTCCTAGCAAACACTAGGTCCTGAACTGCGAAATTCCTGGCCAGACTGTCAGACCCCAAAGGGGTGTCTGGGCAGTAGTGGGGGTGCAGCCTGTCTAAGGCAGTCCTCAGGCATCTCCCCATCAGCAGCTCAGCCGGGGATTTGTTCGTAACTGTGCACGGTGTGGTATGCTGGCTTAGGAGGAATTGAGACAGTTTAGAATGCCAACCCACTGGGCCGAATCTGGCTAACGCCTCCTTGGCTGATCTGACTGCCCGTTCAGCCAACCCGTTGCTGGCGGGGTGGAAGGGGGCCGTGAGGACGTGTCTGATGCCTAGATTTGTGACATACCTACTAAATTCGTTCGAGGTGAACTGGGGGCCATTATCGGATACCAGTGTGTCAGGGAGTCCGTGGGTTACAAAAAGGTGAGTCAAGGCTTTAACAACTGCCTGTGTGGTGGTCGTGTGAAGTAAGGCCACATCTATCCATTTTGAATAGGCGTCCACGACCACCAAGAAGGTCTTGCCGTGCATTGGCCCGGCCAGGTCGATGTGAAGCCGTGACCACGGGGCATTGGCACTTTCCCACTTTGTGGGTGTGGCGGTTGGCGGGGCTGCCCTAGATTCTTGACAGGGTCGACACGAGCTTACCCACTTGGCGATCTGATCGTCCATCCTGGGCCACCAGACGTAGCTTCGAGCTAACGCCTTCATCCACACGATTCCTGGATGGCCCTCGTGCAGCATCTTCAGGACGGGTATGCGAAGGGTGGTTGGTATGACCACTCTGGTACCCCACAATAGGCATCCCTGCAACTTAGAGAGCTCTAGCTGACGAGTTTTAAATGGGGCGAAATCAACTGAATAGTTAGTTTCCGGCCACCCCCTCCCTACCCAGTCCAGAACCTGGGCGATTGTTCTGTCCTTCTTGGAATGTGATGCTATGTCGTCTGCAGTCACCGGTAGGTTTAGTTCGTTTACATCAAAAATAGTATGCACAGGAGCTGGGTCCTCGACTGGGGCTGGCAAGGGGCAGCGGCTGAGGGCATCAGCGTTGTTTAGATTTTTTCCGGGACGATAGACCAGTTTGTATGAGTACGCCACCAGGAATAAGGTCCATCTGGTCATCCTAGGTGACAATATCTGTAGGGTTTGCTTTTCCCCTGATAATAATCCTAAAAGCGGCTTGTGATCAGTGATAAGTTCGAATTGGTGTCCGAAAAGAAATTCGTGGAATTTTTTGACTGCTGCTACTGCAGCCAAGGCCTCCTTATCAACCTGGCTGTAATTACGCTCAGTCGCTGAAAGGGTTCTTGAAAAGAAGGCAATTGGTGCCTCGGAGCCATTGGGAAGCCTGTGACTTAAGACAGCTCCTATCCCAAAAGGGGATGCGTCTGCGGCTAGGACCAAAGGAAGGTGTTGGTCAAATTGTATTAAGACAGCCTCAGAGGTGAGTAGAGATTTGACTGCCACAAATGCTTGGTTTTCTTTGGGTCCCCAGTGCCATGGTGTGTTTCTGTCTAAGAGTCTGTGCAATGGTTCAGCAACTGACGCCTTGTGTGGGAGAAATGAAGCGTAGAAGTTCAATAACCCCAGGAAGGCTTGTAACTCGGTTTTGTTGGTAGGCGTGGGCGCCTCGTGGATGGCCTTGACTTTCGATTCCACCGGGTGGATGCCTGAGGCGTCCAGCCTGTAGCCTAGAAAGTCCACCTGTCTAGTGGCGATGGTACACTTCTCCCGTTTTAGTTTGAGGCCATGCTGCCTGAACTTCTCTAATACTGCCCTGACTCTCTGGATGAGTTGGGGTCTGTCCCTGGCTGTGACTAAGATGTCATCGAAATAAGGCACTACGCCGGGGAGACCTTGGAGGATTCGCTCCATCAGTGATTGGAAAATACCTGGGGCTACACTTACGCCAAACTGGAGGCGCTTACACCTGAATGCCCCTCTGTGTGTAACTATGGTCTGTAAGTCAGCTGTTTGGTTATCCACGGGGAACTGTTGGTATGCCTGTGACATGTCCAGTTTGGCGAAAATGGTGCCAGGTTCGAATGTGTGTAACAGGTGCTGAATGACTGGGACTGGATATGCGCTAACCTGTAGATAACAGTTGATTGACGTCTTGTAGTCAGCACAAATTCTTAGATTACCGTCTTTTTTTAGCGGGGTGACTATGGGGGTCTCCCACTTAGCGAAATCTGTGGGTTCTATCACCCCTTGTTTTAGTAGTTGTCTAGTTCCGCGTCCAATTTGGGGCGGATGGCGAAGGGTACTCTACGTGGTTTTAAACGAACGGGGACTGCCTGTGGGTCTACTGAGAAGGAGATGGGAGTGCCCTTATAGCAGCCTAACTCACTACTAAAAACGTCAGAGTAGTCTGTAAATAAGGAGTCAACATCAGAAGTTGAGACAGCATGGACTCCTTTTATACTAAGGCCGAGAGAGGGGAACCAATCCAACCCCAAAAGACTAGGGAGGGCACCATTAACAACCACTAAAGGCAAATGGCCTTTAAAGGTTTGGAATTTCACGAGAAACTTGCCTTTCCCGAGGACGGGGATGTTCTTTCCTTGGTAGTCTCTCAAGGTGAGATGGCACTTTTGAAGCTGTTTCTTTGTCAGTCTGGGCTGGATCTTCTTAAGCGTGTCCCAAGATATGATTGAGAGCGCTGACCCCGTGTCTACTTCCATGCGGCAGGGATTACCTTCTAGTAAAACAGAAAGTGTAATTTTATTGGGGGTGTAGAGTGTGTGGTTGGCTTGGTAGCAAGTATGGCATTTTTCTACTTGCCTTCGGGGAACAGGAGAGGAAGGAGATCTTTGTAGAGAGGTGCGCGCTGCCTGGCAGACTCTTGCGAGGTGACCTTTCTTGTGGCAGTTGTGGCAAGATGCCCGGGAATGGGAACCTCCACAGGTCAGGCATAAAAGAGTTTGTTTTGGACCACTGTTGTTTCTTGGCCTCGCTCCTACCTGCGGCTGTCTCGTTGGTTTGAGGCGATGCACATCGGAGTATTCTGCCGGGTCATCCTCACTTACCGCTTCTTCAGAGTGTACAGAGGAAGTGCTAGGTCTGGGAGCGGTGCCCTGGATCTCAGCTGCGGACTGTGCTGCAAGTTCTGCAGCTAAGGCTTCTTCAACTGCCTGGGGGAGGTTTAGGTCTCTTCTAGCCAGCAAACGCCTCTGGAGTTTTAGATCCCTCACCCCACAGACGAGTTGGTCTAGCAGCATGTCGTCCAAATAGTTCTTGAACTCACATTGTAGAGCTGCTGTCCTCAGGGCTGCCATATATTGATTTATGGATTCCCCCTCAGCTTGCTTCCTCATCCTAAAAGCGAAGCGCCTAGCAATCTGAGACGGTTTTGGGGAGTAGTGGTTGGATAGCGTTTCCACCAGCTCTGCCCATGGGACATTCCCTATTTCTCGTGGGGCCAGGAGTGCTGTGGCAGTGTCATATACTACAGCCCCACAGTAGCTGAGGAAGTAGGATTTCTTCCTCTGCTCCGAAGCTTCAGCCAGTCCAATGGCATCGATAAAGTGGTTGAAGCGATTTTTATATGAGTCCTACTTTTCCTCATCGGGTTTGAAAGGGGGGAATACTGAATTGACATTCATTTTGGATCCCTCAGTCTCTTGGTAGACTGGTCTGCCTCACTGGGAGCTCGTTGTCTTGGATTGATGCTGCTTGGGGGCGTGGGCGGCTGTGGCTACAGTGCCCTATTCTCACTCAAGGACTTTGGCTTTTCTGAGGCGCTTGAATTTTCGTGCTCTTTTGCTAGCGTTAGGCGGCTGTGGCTGTGGTGCTGTACTGACAGCGCTTTAAATTCGAGCCCTTTTTCTTCTTATTATTAATTTTTTTTTTTTTTTGGCGAGGCGGCTGAGGCGCTCGCAATTTCACTGGGGAGTCTTCACTTAGAGACGGCTTCTGTAATTAGTGCCCAATTGTGATCGAGGCGGCTGAGGCTCTCAGCGCCGTAGCTTGCTCGGGGCTGCAGCTCAGTGACAGCCGTTAGAATTTTCGCGCCTTTTTTTCACACGCGCGGGCGGCTGCGGCTTCAGCGCCCGACTTTCCCTATCCGTGGTGCTCTAACCGACGCGCTTTCTCTGATAGCGCCCGGCCTTCTCTAACCCGGTTGATCTAACCTGAGCTTTCACTTTTGCGCTGACAGGCTGCTGAGTCCGATGGCTCGGTAAGCAAACGGCAAGCGGCTGCGGCTTCCGAAGACAGGCTTCTGAGTCCGAGGCTCGGCAGCAAAACGGCAAGCGGCTGCGGCTTCCGCTGACAGGCTCCTGTTCCTTTAGAAAATGCTCCTGGCTAGCCTTCATATCCCATCCTCGTCGCCAGTGTTGTATTTCAAGGGAAAGAGAGGCTTAGACCAGGGCATGCAATTAACACGTTTATTGAAGGAACAGTGGTTGTCGCGTCTGCCAGCCAACGGGCAGACTAGCTTGCGAACAACGGCTGGCTTGGCTTGACAGCCGACTTTTTATAGTCGGCTGTCAACCGACGCCAGCCAATAGGAACGGTTGTTGAACTTGCTTAACGAGTGGACCCGGTTGGAGCCCCAACCGGTTCCCAAGACATAACATTTATGTTCTTGTTGTGGGCAGATCAGTCTCTAATTGTTATGGCGGTTCATAGTGCAAACCCTCTGTGAAGTGGGGAAGACCCTGTTATATCAGTCTGCCCTAAGCACCTAATTGATCCATTGATCTTGAAGGCCTGTCAAATTGGTGACCCATGGGCCAGATGCATCATGCACAGGCCACGCCCACCCTGGCTCCGCAAAGGCAAAAAAAGTCACAATACATCCAGTTTGACACCCCTGTTTTAGAGGATGTTTAGGCCATTTCTCAAGGATCTGGTAGGAAGTTTGGTTAAAACTTTGATTGGCCAAAGGAATAAAGTGTGGCACTTGACCAAGTTGCTCTAGAGTAGCTTTGTTCTGTTGGTAGATCTACTGTACCTTCTTGCTTACTGAGAACCTCAGAAAGATGAAGCCTCGTCTATCATAATTAAAGTCTTTTAAAGCAGCAGCGGATTGGATTTCAATAATACTCAATACGTCTTTCAGTGATGGGATGTTTTCTGTCCTGCCCCTGTCGGAGTCTGAATCTGAGGGGAAAGAACAGCTGACAGAGAGCAGGAGAGTGGCTCTGTTGGCTGTGGGGGAAACTGGGAAAGGGCAAAGTCAGGCTGGGCAGAGCAGGGGAACAGCAGAACAGGGGAGAGGGGGTTCAGATGAAGAGTAAGACCCACCCCGTCCTCATCCTAGGGTGCATAGGGAAGAGTGCAGAAGAGAGCAACATGGGTAGCATGGCTTATGAGGAAGAAAAGGACCCACATGACTCCATATTGGCTGAACTGAGTGGCTATCCACAACTATATTCATTTTCCCATTCAATCAGGTCACCTCCAGCCAGGTCCCATCTATGTAAAAAGGCCATCTGGCATGGTCTTGGAAGCAAACTTTTTCGATCATTGCTCCCATCCTCTGGAATTCCTTCCCAGAGAGAAGGCATGCTGCAATTGGTAGAATAATCAAGTCTTGCCTGCTTTCCAGAAAGAAAGAGGAAGGAAAGGACCGTATTTCTGCAGAGAAGAAGGGCAATTCAGAGTGTTGGTTTACATTGACTGTTCCACCAGGTTTTGGGGACTTTCGGGAAATGAACTGAAATGCTCCCGGTGCCAAAATATTATATTAGTTTTAATTTTACCATAGATTGCATTTTCATAATTGACCATTTCTGTTCCTGCTTGTTTTTTTGAAATAAACTGTATAGAGTAGCCTTGGCTAAAGTAATTTATCAATTAATTAAAAATACAAGTAGTCCTCGACTTACAATGGTTCATTTATTAACCATTCAAAGTTACAAAGACACTGAAAAAGCGACTCATCGTCATTTTTCACAGTTGTGACTTTTCCAGCAGCCTCATAATCATGTGACCAAAATTCAGATGCCTGCCAACGGGTTCCTATTTATGACTGTTGCTGTGTCCCAAGCAGTGATGGGATTCAAATATTTTTATCACCGGCTTGGTGGGCGTGGCTTGGTGGGCGTGCTTTGCGCGTGTGCACACACTTTGCATGTGCGTGTGCACCAAACGCACACTTTGTGCAGGCGCAGAGGCATTTGCATAGGTGCAGAGGCGTTCTAACTCACCTCCTGCAAGCCTGCACAATCCCAGTCACTTCAGCAGCTGCTGCATGACACTCTTCTATGCTGCGCAAAGCAGCTGCGCTTCAAATTCAGAGGATAAAGGTGAGTATGGGTGCCCGGGCGGAGCAGTGGAGAGAACCGGTTTGGTCTCTGCTGCTACCGGCTTGGCAGAACCAGACTAAACCAGTAGAATACCACCACTGGTCCCAAGATTATATGATCACCTTTTGTGGTCTTCTGACAAGTGAAGTCAATGGGGAAGCCAGATTCATCTCACAACCAGGTTACTAACTTATCAACTGCAATGATTCACTTAACAACTGTAGCAAGAAAGGTTGTAAAATGGGGCAAAATTCACTTAACACATGTCTCACTTAACCACAGAAATGTTGGGCTCAGTTGTGTTCATAAATTGAGGACTACCTTAAAATACCATGCCAATTACTAATGTCTCTTTTAAATTCTATCAGCTCTGTGTTTTTCATTAAATATAGTGAAAGCCCACGTAAGAGTTGCCATTGATGAAGGAAGCAGTGTTTGGTGTTATGTAGTAAACGTCACTCTGAAATATAAGAGCTTTTCTT